GATTCTTCACTATTATAATCCAATTCTTTAAGATTATTGAATTTAGGATCCAGATTATATTGGATATCTTCAAGTGAATGATCAACAACTTCATAATTATCAGGGAGACAATATATTTTAGTATTTTGAAGATTCATAAATAGGTGGTGATCTTATTCAAGTGAATGAATATAAGCTTAGGTATTAATAGATTTGCCTTAATAATATTTGCCACAAATGAGACAAGCATAGACATTAAGATTTGAAAGAGTAACAGAGCATAATTTTTCAAAATCGAAATCAAGCATATGTCTACAAATTGTAGCTATATATGGACATTATTGATTGTATTTAACCTTTTTTTTGATTTCGTCTATCATTTAATAATTTAATTAATTTATTCATGAGTTCTGAGGAAGAGACCCAATAATCGTTGTAGTACAAGGTGCACAAGTCAACTTTGAAATGGGCCCCAGTGTTCAATATGACAATTTTAATGTCAATAGCAATAATCTCTTGTTTAATAAGAGTGTTTTCAGTGATCAGATATGAGTCTATCATTCATGAGTTTGATCCATGGTTTAATTACAGAACAACTTAATATTTAGTGAAGGAAGGCCCATATGCATTATGGAATTGGTATGATTCAGAATCATGGTATCCTCTTGGAAGAAGTGTTGGAGGCACAGTGTATGATTTGCATAATATTAATCAGGTATCCAGGTTTAATGATGACCTCTGGTTTGATATATTGGGTATTGCACAAGCTATCGATTCCAATAGATATTAGAAATGTATGTGTCTTTTTGGCTCCAATCTTTTCAGCATTTACAAGTCTAGCAGCATATGGAATGACAAAAGAAATAACAAAGAGATCAGAGGCCGGATTATTATCAGCTCTATTTGTTGCTATAGTGCCTTCTTATATGAGTAGAAGTGTGGCAGGATCATATGATAATGAAGGAGTATCTATTTTTGCTCTTGTGTTTACATTTTATACTTTCCTAAAGACTGTCAATACAGGATCAATCTTATGGGGTGTATATACAGCTTTAGCGTAAATTAAATTTAAATAATTAGATTTTTCTATATGGTTGCTTCTTGGGGAGGTTATGCATTTATTATAAACATAATACCAATATTTGTGTTATTTTTATTAATAACAGGACGCTCTAATCAGAGAATTTAAGTGGCTTACAATGTCTTTTACATATTAGGAACTTTATTGGCTATGCAAATTCCATTTGTTGGATTTTAGGCTTTACATTCATCAGAACATATGGCATCGCATGCAGTATTTATTTTGATAAACTTCCTAAACTTTTTCAGTTGGATACGCAATTTTGTAAGTAAAAAAGCAATCCTCACACTTACTAAATTCTTAGTAGTGTTTTTAGTATTCTCTATTTTAATTGGAGTAGTCATA